GAAGAAGTAGAAACAACATACCACAGCGATAAATGTGCACCCATGTTTACAGCAGTACAGTTTGCACTGGAAACAATCCAAGTGCTCATCAACTGAGAAAAGGATTTTTTTAATGTGGTATTTTTTATAGAAATGGAGCACTACTCAGCTATACAGAAGCATAAACTGGAGCCTTCTATCTATAAGCAAATAGATGCGATGGGAGACTATACTCACAAGTGAAATAATAAATAATAATAATAAATCAGACCCACATGTGTAAGCATCATATGTCTCACTAGTGTGAGAAACTGAATGAGTAAATAAGGTTAACATGTACAACACATTGTGAATTTAAAAGAAACTATTCAAAAAAGAAAGAAAGTATGATGGGGGAAAGGGGAAAGAAAGGGAAAAAGAAAAATTATATTTTTCCCATTAATTTTTTAATTAATTAATTTATTTATTTGATGCAGAGTCTCACTATGCCACTTGGACTTGTAGTGATCTTCCTGTCTCAGCCTCCCCAGTGCTGGGATTAAAGGCATTTGCCACTAAGCCCAGTTTCAGTGGCCAGTAAAACATGCAGTATCAGGGATTGAGCCTGGGTCCTTGTGCTTGTCAGGTGCTTAGACTGCCGAGCTATCTCCCCAGTGCAAAAAATATGTAATTAAACACAAGATATAAGATAGTTATACAGCTAGTTTTTCTTAGCTTATCGAAAAGGGAGGTTTGTACTAATATTGTCAAACAATATTTCATGCCTGTATCTTGTACCCTAAATCACTACTATAAAGAATATACACAATATATACAATAGGCAATGTATTAATTATTATAACTCTCTTACTAACCTGTTTTGAAACTCTGTTATGTTTTCTTTAAGATGAAATAAAATATTAAAGGAAGTCATTCAGACTAACAGAAAGTGATCCTATATAGTTATTAAAATGCACATAAAAAACACAAAGAACACCAATAAAGGTAATTCTATTATGAAGAAAGCATGAATGTATATTTGTTTTCCTCTCTTCTCTACACTGAATTAAAAAGCAATTATATAAAATAATAAATACAAAATGCATTATGAGACATAGAACATAGAGAAATGTAATATGTTTAACAATTATTGCACAAATAGAGCAGGTGAAAGCTGTACTGGACTAAAGAAATGGTTCCAGGAGGAAATACAAATCCATAGGAACAAATGAAGAGGAGCAGAAATGATAAAGATGAGTAATATGTAAGCATATATTTGCTCTGCCTTTCTTTTAGTTTTTATAAAACTCATAAAATTAGAAAGTAATGATTTTTAAAATGTATTGTTGGCTTTGGAAACACATATAAACTGAAAATGAACAAATGGAAAAGGTTTTCTTTTCCAATGATAGTGGTATGAAATGAAATAAATACAAAAAGAAATCTTAGAAAATTTATAAGTACGAGGAATTAACCTGTTCATGTACAACCATTTGATGACAAATGAAAATAGCAATATTACAACTAACATTACATAAAGGATCAGAAGCGATTACTATGAACAACTATATTTCAACAAGTTGGATAACCTAGAAGAAATGGACAAATTCTTGGAAATATACCAAGACTGAATTATCAGAAATAGCCTGTACATCCCAACCATAAGGATATCAAATCAGAAATCAAAACTTCCCATCAGAAAAGCTCAAGTCTTGATGCCCTCCCTGCTGAAATCTACCAAACAAAATAGGATTACTGTCAATCCTTCTCAGACTCTTCAAAAAATGGAAGAGAAAGAAACCCTTGCACTTATATATACAAAGTCATGTCAGAGTGTCTCCAAAAGCAAGATCAGAGGGCAACATTCCAGATGAACGAAGATGCAAAGGTTCTCAACAACATATTAGCAAACCAAATTCAGCAGCACATTCAGATGCTCATACATCATGATCAAGGGTGATGCATTTTGGAAAAGCAAGGATTTTTCAACAAATACAATTCAGGGTAATGCACTACATGGAATGGAATGGAATGAAGATTTAAAATCAGAGCATTTTAATCAATGTGGAAAAGGCACTTGACTAAATTCAACATCTTCCATGACAGAGACTCAGCAAACTAGACATAGGATGACTGTCCCTCAACATGATAAAGGCTGTGGATGATGAGCCCTCAGCTAATATGAACACAGTGCTTATTATCAGACCCGTATTAAAACATGAAAGAAAGTTTTTCAGGCTAACAGAAAGTGATCCACAGTAGTTAAAAGCTGAAACTTTTTCTTTAAGATCCATTACTGCAGAAGGATGCTGACTTTCACTAATTTTTATTCAACAAATATTAGAAGTCCCAGAACAAATAGACAAGAAGAAAAAAAATCCAAACTGGAAAAAAAGCAAATCTGTCCCGTTTGCAGATTACATAATCTCACACATAGAAATCTCTAAAGACGCTACCTGCAAAAACATCCTGTCAAAACAAATTAATTTAGTAAAAATTCAGGATACAAAATCAACATATGGGGCTGGGGATATAATGTTCAGTGGCATAAGTGCCTGCCTGGCAAGTGCAAGGTCCTGAGTTTGATTCCTGTTTCCAAAATCAACTGCAAAAATTGCTAGTATGCCTATTCATTAACAAGAAACCATCTGCAAAAAAAAAAAAATCAAGAATAATCCTACTTACAATAATTTCAAAAAAATACTTAGGAATAAATTTAACTAAAGAAGTAGAATATCTGTACACTACAAACGATAAAATATCAATGGAAAGATTGATGAAGACACAAATAAATGGAAAGAACTCATGTTCATGGACTGAATAAAACAATATTGTTAAAATGTCCACCTTAAGTGAGCAATAGGTTTTTTTGTAGTCCCCATCAATATCCCAATCACAATAGCCACAGAAATAGAAAATTTCTAAAATTTGTACAGAACACACACAAAAAAAAACAAGCAGCCAAAGCAATCTTGAGCGAAAAGAACAAAACTAGCATTATCACATTCTCTAATTTTATTATAAAACTACATTAAAAATCATATAATATTGGCATAAAAAGTGACACATATGCCAATGTGAATACACTTTCCATATGCAAATGAACCATCCAGAGGCCACATTCCCTTCACCTCCTTTATGGGGCCTTTGTGATCCAAGAAACTCTTCCCCTTGCCCTACTCAACCAAGGTTGGGTCCCCTGTAACTAGAGACAGCCACTAATCTCCACCAAAAAAACCACTGAATTATTCAAACCAGCCAGCTTCTATGGAACCAGAGTCAAGGTCCTCGCCCACATTTCCTCCCATTCCTGCTTCCTGGGGGATACTAAGGTGGCTCCCTGTGCCCTGCTCCCTGTGCCCCTCTCCCTATGCAGTGGCGTGCCCATGGAAACGATGCCGATGATCTTTGCATGGCAGTCATTTGATCTGTTGGCCTCACCATACCTGAACTTTTTTTTTTTTTTTTCAGAACCGGGGATTGAACTGAGATCCTTGCATTTGCCAGTCAAGTGCTTATCCTACTGAGCCATCTCCCCGGCCCCATACCTGAACATTTAATAAGACCTGTATTTTAAAACAGAAGACAATATGAGTCTGATATCAAAACGACAAATACTACAAGAAAAGAAGATCACAAATTCCTATGACTGGGGGGCGGGGAGATGGCTCAGTGCAATAAGCACTTCCTTGGCAAGTGCAAGGGCCTTAGTTCAATCCCGGTTCCTCAAAAAAAAAAAAATCCTATGACTATAAATGCAATAATCATCAATGCTAGCAAATAGAATCTAACAATATGTAAAAAAAAACTAAATTCCAAGTGGAATTTATTCCAAGAATGCAAGGTTGGTTAAACATACAAAATCAGTTAACACAATATACCACATCAATAGAATAAAAAACAAAAATGACATAATCATACCAAAAGATATAGATAAAGCACTTCATAAACTTACATACCCTTTCATGATAAAATCATTCAATAAAGAACAGAAGAAAAATGTTTCAACAGGAGTGGTAGTGCGTACCTATAATCCCAGGACTCAGGAGGCTGAGGCAGGAGGAGAATTCAAGATCAGCCTGGGCTACAAAGTGAGCTCAAGGCCAGCCTGAATTTCATAGAGAGACCCTGTCTCAAGAAGACAGAAGGAAAAAAAAAAAAAAAGAGTTCAACCTAAGAAAGGGTATTTATTTTAAAATCCCAAGCAGTTAAGCACTCGACTAAATGGTGTCGAGATCTATTTTAAGGTAACATTAATATAATTTTTTTTTGTATTTTTAGTAAGGGTCTACAGGTCTCACTACAGAGACTGGACTCATAGTGATCCACCTGTGTTCAGCTTCCCAAAGAGATAGGATTACAGGTGTGCGCCACCACGCCCAGTCTCAATTGCTGACTCAGTCTGCCCAGGAGGCAGGGCCTGCACGGCATGCTGGGCATCGAACCCCGGCTGCTGTGTCTCCCTAAATAAGCATTTAACCCACTCAGCTATTTGGCCAGCCCGTAATACAATTTTAAAATACATATACTCCATGCTCCATAAATCCCATCCATGGGTATCTATCACATGGAAATATACAGCATGTCATCTGGATATATATCACTTCAGTTCTATTCTTTGGGGACAAAGTGTATGAGAATCACCAGGGGACTAGCTAAATCAACCACAGGATAGTGACACTCTAAAATGCCACGGTATTTGTACTCGGCCACTGAAGTGGACCACAGCACAGCCATTATCCTGAGGTGGCTTCAGTGAAATTTTTCTGCACGAGCAATGCAAGATGCATAAAAACGTGAGCACACTATTCTGCAAATAACTGACAAACTCTACTGGGCATATGCACATAAATGCGTATGTGGAGCGACCACGGGATATGCAGATGGGTATGTGTGTGCCTACACTAAGATATACGTGTTTCATTATGTGAGTTTAAAGGAAAATCCAAGAGAATCCGAGCACTAGACCCTCATTTGGATTAGTGGGGAGGGGTGGGGGAAGCTACAGAGTGGAAAGAGCGAACAATAAAACAAAGGTTTACCTATCAAGTTTGCGAGATTCAGTTTGCTCTTGTCAGCAGCAAATCCTAAGCAGAGCGTTTTCAACGAATTATCTGGGACACAATTTATTGTTGCAGCCAGACTAATGAGGAAGTATGCCTTAACAAAACAAAATTTATTTAAGAGATGTTGTCGACCAACCATGACCAGAGTTATAGGCAGGCTTTTCGTTATTAATTCTTCAAGCGCCTACAAATAAAGAAGGGTGAAAGGGCAAATTAGCAAAATATTTTTTCAGATATCATTACTTCATCCCTTCTTTATTCACGTGCCCTCTCCCTGGCCAGCTCAGCATCCATGGCTAACCACTTACTCCTTGTGCACACACTCAACGCCCTGGTGCTCCTGCCCTGAGTACCCACCGCCTTGCCACAGTCACAACCCTGAACTCCACCTGTAAGTCTTCTTCTGGTTTACAATAAAAGGGGCTGGAAAAAAAATCACACAACTGTGCAAGTAGTCAGTCCTCCTTTAAGTTCTCGACTAAAATCTCTGTGCTACGCAGCCTTCATCCTACATTTTGCCAGTCTATTAATTCTCCCTCCTAGTTGCTCTCTCTCTTGCTTTTCCCCTCCCCTCCCCTCCCCTCCCCTCTCCCTCCCTCTCAGCTACACCTTTGTTTCTTGTACTTTATGGAAAACTTGAAGCACTTGGCATCCCTAGGCCCCACTGCATTATCTATGTGATCTACCTGAGTATCTACTCGCTCTCCCTTCCTGCTGCCTAAGGCTGGCACTGCCATGTAGGCCATCAGTCCTGTCCCCACTGACCTCAGCCACTGTCTCCATGTCACAAGTGGTTCCCTCCCTACAGAGACTCTTTCCACACAGAGACATACTGTCATCTGTTTGGCCTTCAAGTTCTCACTACACCAACTTCTTTCCTCAGCTCTCACCCCAAACCTCTGTTCCCCTACACAGCAACACTGCAAAGAATTGTTCTTATTTCTAACCTTTCATTTATATTTCCCCCGGTGCTGGAGATTGTACTCAGGGGCTCCCACGGGCTAGGCAAGCCCTCTATCATAAACCACACCCTCAGCCCCATGCTTGCCAGAAAACCCACTCCACCCTTACACCCAGACCCTTTGGTCAAGGTCACCAATGGCCTATACTTGGCCAAACACAGTGTTCAATCCTCAGTCCTCATAGAACATGCTACTACTAATCAAACCACTGTTTTGTATGCAAATTACTGTCACATATCATCAATGATAAACTGCATGCTGATTTTAGAGATGTTAAATGTGAAAAAGTCTTGTTTAAAGTTCAGTACATTATGATACTTGATTCATCAGCAACATTTTATATATTTTATCTTCCCTACTGGCCACTTCTTCTCAGTGGTCATTGCTGGGTCCTCCTCTTCCCTTGTACCTCTTAACATTCTTTTCTCCTTACCCCCTCACCTTAGATGATTTTAAGCAGGCTTTTTTTTTTTTTTTTTTTTTTTTTTTTTTTTTTTTGTACAGGGTCTATAGTGTCTCACTATGTAGATCCAACTCAGTGATTCTCCTGTTTTCAGTCTCCCAAGCGCTGGGATTACAGGAAGGCGCCACCATGCCCAGTCTCAAACGTGGGCTCAGTGCACCTAAGGAGTGGGAGGTGGCACGGCACAGCACAGCAAGGCTCGAACCCCTGTCACTGTGTTCTGCCTAAGCACGTGCTTTAGTCCTCTGAGCTATCTGGCCAGCCCCTTCAAGCAGGCTTTTACACAGGTTTTCATTTCTTCTAAAGGCCAATGAAATCATAAGTTTTCCCCTCACTCCAACCTCTCTTCTGAAGTAAGACTCAGAATCAACTTCTGGGTCAATTCCTCCACCTAGATGTCTAGTAGCTCAGACTCAACACATGCAGTGCCTAGAACTATACTCCCACTGTCCGTTACCCATGCACACACAGAGAAACTCCGAGAGAACAGGGAATCTCTCCATTTGGCTGACTCATGTGTTTGACTGACAGCACCAGAACAGTGCCTGACACATAGTGGACTCAACAGATTAAAGCACTCTCTTTAAAACATAAGCATTTTATATACTGGGATACTACTCAGCTGTAAAGAATGATAAACTTGAAGCCTTCATATTTAAGTGGATGTCCCTTGAAGATATACTTATTAGTGAAATAAACTAGATCCACATCTGTAAATATCGTATTGTCTCCCTAATATAAGGACTTACAATTCTGTATATGGTTAGGTTTCTAAATTTTTTTGTAAAAGTATGTAAATGCTTATTTCTACTGTTATATAATTATTTTTCCTTCATATTCTGTAAGGACTTAAAGTTCAACCTATCAATATCTGATGGAAAATACCTGTTCCATGATATGCCAAAATGCTTGATATTTAGACAGATAGGGTAAACCGAGCTGCATATATTGCAGGTTAATAATTAGCTTCTTTTCTGGAGGGTTAACAACCTAAGTTAGCAGATCAAAATTGGAGAAAAGGAAGGGCTGCATGGTTAGCCAACATTTTGGCCCTCGCCTTTCAAGGTCAGTGAAGACTTGGGACATAGGAGAACCTGAACTGTAACAACATGTAACTCAGTTGTGCTCCAAATTTTCTGATCAAGAAGATTATGGAGCCACAGAGGAATGTGTTCGATGATGTAAAGTGAGCCTGGGGAGAGTCACGTGGAGAGAAAAAACATTTTCTCAAGCTTACACAGACAGCAAATTGGTCAAGCAATGGCCGCTGTGACCATCCTCATGTCAGTGACTGACAAAAGGATGTACAAAGGCCGGTACAGGGCTACAGGATAAATCCTGAGAGTACTTGGCTGACCTTATCAG